TCCTGCCGTCAAGCAGGTGGGGCGAGAAACGGCAACCCCACAGAGACACAAGAGCGGAGTTTTTAAGTGTGATTTTAGCACGGCCGTAAAAGCCCGGTGATGGCAACAAACCCTTTTCTAAGAAAAAAAAAGTTGTGGGGTTTTGTTGTTGTTGTGGGTTTTTTTTTCCCCCCTATTCCTAGCACCAGTACACTTTTTATTATAATAGAGCCGTAGTACGGGTGGGTATGTGGAGGTGAAGAGCTCCCGCTGAGGGACCTGGTGCAGCCCCGTGTTTGCCACACACCCGGGCAGCAGAAGCAGGAGCTGAGTTTTCTGTGAAGGGAGGTGCAACGGGTGGGTGGAAGGGCAAACAAGTGGAAATGATGATAAACCTGAGGTAGGAAAAAAACAAACCCCAACAACCCTTGCCAAAGCTACTCCTGGCTTTCACAGGTCTCAGTTACAGCTCGGTGAGCCTGAACTCTCATTTCCCCATGCAGGAATCTGTTCGGCTCACAACCTGGGCGTCTGACACCAACCTCCACGTGTTCCAGCTTTGTGCTGCCACAGCAGAGAGCAGGCTTTGCTGTGTCGGTGGCATCCAGCTGGAATGGGGCAGTGAGCAGGGGTGAAGCTTATTTTGAAAGGTCACTCTGTCAACAGCAGTTTTGCTAGTTTCCGTGTTGGTTAGGTGGCCTTCAGGATCAACTGGAGAACGGGAAGTCACCCATGTCTTTTGCCTGCCCCCCTGCTCAGTTTTCAAGCTGGAAGAGCTGCTCAAGTAACTCTACTGGCTGAGGTTATAAAACAGGAATTTAAGGTGAAGTAAATGCTGTGGAGACACCCTTTATACAGGCTTACATAGGAGGATATGGAAGAAAAGGGAAAGGCACCCTTACAGGACACGTGATTTTACTTGTTTAACAGCTCAGTGTCTTCTTCCCATAAAAAGGCTTCTCTAGTCAAAGAACTTATTACCTGGCTTGATATCACACTTGCTTCTCTCAGTGCTTGCTGGTTTGCTGTTTGCGAAGATGCAATTTGCCCTTGAAGTTGAGGACTGGGGACAAGCTGCTGCTGCTGAGAAATGGCCCCTGATCTCTGCTGAAGTGGTTGTGGCTCCGGCTGCTGGGAATTGCTGAAGCTCAGGGACACTGTTGGCTGCTGTAGGAACATCTGGAAAAGAAGCGGGGAGGGTTTAGTTGTATAGCCCGGCTGTTTTGGGTAATGAAGGTGACAGAATGAAATGCAAAGTTACATTCTAAAATAATCACATTTCTGGATTCAGTATGTGTTTACTGTTAGTTGAAAATCACCTGTCTTTCCTACATTAACAGTTCTGCTGTCTCTTGATTTCTTGTGCTGCAAGTGCACTTGTTACTTGTGAAATGTGTCCTAAATGTAGACGCCATCTCTCCTTGGGGCAGGCACAGCCCCTCTAAGAGCAGCTCCCCATACATTCACCACCTTCTGGGGCATCCTGACCAGAGAGAAGAGAGTAACTCCATGTCTTTTCAGTCCTTTCCTTTTCCTTTCAACAAAGTCAGCCTCCTTTCCAGACAGGGCTGCTGTTGAATTTGTCTCTGAAAATTCAACACCTTACATACAGTTGGGTTGTCGAATGTTTTTAACAAGACCATGATCAGGCCAGGGCTGTCCCTGTTGAATGGCTGTGTCCTTATCATTGAGACGACGTGTAAACAGACAGTCACTGTCATTTATCTGATTTCCCATCAGGTAACTGTCACACGACTTCTTCCTAACTGTGCCATGCATTTGACTTGTGTAAAAGAGATAGCATCTCCTCTGTTCGTGTTTCTGTAAATTATACACTCTCCACGCCTACAATACAAGATGAGGCTTTCTTCTCTAAAAGTTGTAGGGTTGGGGACTTTTTGCTTTTCTAGGGGCTATTTCTTTTATTATAGCTGTACACAGGAAAAAGGCATCTTTAAAAACTATGAATTAATAATGCTACAAGCTATCTTTGCTATTTCAAAACTAGCCTCTTGCCACCAAGGACTCTATGGAGCTACACTTCCCAGGTAGCTCCAGGCATTCTTGGGTCTGATTCTGATTCCACACCATTGCTACACATGTGGAACTCCATTAATTGAAGTGGAGGTTTACTTAGGGTTTAAATGAAATAAGAATCACAATTATTCATTATTCATTCATCAGTCTGATGCCTAGCAGTACATCTGGGGTACGCCCAGTAATTAGTACACCTTTCTGCAGCTTATTGCTATATTAGCAATTCCCTAAACTATCATGTCCCTTCTAATTTTTCTTGGAAAAAACCCATACCTTTCTCCAAAGGACCAGCACAGTGTATTGCTTTTCTTTGCATTAGTATGAGTTGATCCATCATATTTGTACTTATTTATCTAGCTTTTAAAACATAGTTTTTATTTAAATATGGTAATGTAAAAATAAAATTCCCTGTGCCAAGATTTTACTCAGAAAAAAGGTACAGACAAAGCTTACATTAATCAACTGGGAGAGAGTGGCAACTAATGAAAATGTTAATGGACCTAAAGCAACAGCTTGTTTCAGGTGCTGTAGGCTAACCACATCTCAAAAGGTGTCTGATAGAAATAAATGGGTCAAGTAACAGAGTTGGGGCTGCTTGCAGCTCCTCTGAAACTAGCTCTGAGCGTCTTCTTTTAAAAATGCTACTCACTGAGTTTTGAGTCATTACGGATCAGAAAGACAGATGGTCTGGCAACTTCTGCCAAGTAAATAGGTCTTATGAATAAATCAAAGTCAGAAATTATGAAAATTCATTTTCCTGTTTATATTCTGTACATAGAACTAAGCTTTGGACAGGTTTAGTAAATTAACTCACTTGAGTTCTAGCAATGAAACTCGTTGCCATTGATAGAAAATTTGATATAAGAAGTTTGTTATAAAATTCAGAGCAGGTAAAGCAGGTGATGTGTTTTACAAATGTGATGGGGAATGTGAGCCCCTTGGTACTGGCCAGATCACCGCAAATTAAGACATTTAGGAGGATTATCTTAGGTGTCCTCCCTGAATGTGATGGACAGTGCTGGAGAAATACTAAGTTCATCCAGTGCAAAGTTAACATCTATTGATGCAAATGTCAGGCAGAGTGTGAACTTGCGGTAAATGCCTCACTCTGCAGGAACCTGCCTGTGTGCATGTGGTACTTCCAGATGAAGGTCAAGAAGCTTAACCTTGAAAGAAAGCAGAATAACCTACTTTATAATTGCCAGAGGGTTCCACTGGGTAGGAAGGTGCATGGTTAATGGTTGGCAGCTAGCACGTTATAAACATACAACCAAGTTTATCCCAGTAAACCGATTTTGTTTGTGTGTTCGTACCCTGAGAGGCCTGCAAGTGTTTCATACCTAGGGACCCTCTGATGCATTATTACCTTCTTTACCAGCTTTATTACCTTCTGAACATGAATGTCCTAGAAGAAACAAGCTCAGGGCAGGAAGTGATGGTGCCATTTAACCCATGTCTCTGCAGCACTGGAAGACCCAAGATGTCTCATCAAAACAAGAGTTAACTGAGAGGAGATAAAAGCGTGGAATTCCTACCTGCTAGATAAGCCTAAAAGCAAGATTGTGCTTCATTTATACAAACTGTGTTTCACAGTGTGCTGCTTTTGTGATAGTCCTGCCTGAATCCCCCTGAAACCCTGAAATATGGCAGCTTTAAATAACAAACCCCCTAATAAAAAATGAAATGTTTCCCAGTCTAACCAAATCCACGTAGTTAAATTAGCAGCCTCCTAACTGCCCTGCTGCTAATGACATGTCTCGTGGCTGGTTTTGCAGACTGCAAGGTCAGTGAAGCATCTTACAAATATTTTTTTAATTGGCCAGCTTGTTAACATACTCAGCAAAGCAGCAAGGGAGGGGAGGGATTCTCTGACACTGCTACCCCTCATTCTGAGATAGATGGTCCCTACAGCTAATAGATTAATCACATTGGCAAGACACTGTGAGGAAAAGGGCTCTTTGACTCTACCTGTCCATTGGATAATCAGGAGATTATAGCCTTCAGGCTCACCAGTACAGACATCAAGACTCCTTCTTTATGTAAAATAGGGA